CAATGTGGAGTTGCCACAATCCTTCGATTTGTAAAAAATGCAATATTTGTCAGTGGAGTAAGGCAAAGCACAATAAAAGGAAATATGCCTGTATAATGACTCGTTATGTTAGTATTCAGGATCAACATCATTAATTTACACTTACATCCTTAAGTCTATATTAATTCACGGTGCAACCACAAGCACACAGATGCTTAATAATGCACCTCCTCAGGCCTCTCCTCGGGAATGGAGACCGAGATACCTGGGAAGTCTCATTTTTTACAGGTTTCCAAGATGGTCTTAGGAGGAAAGTTTGGAAAATAACGTGGGTTTGGGGAGGGGGTAATTTTTTTTTTTTCTGACTCTGTTTTAAACAGGTTTTTTTTAGATAAAATTTACAATTATGGAATATTTCTGTCACCTCAAAAAGAAACCTCATGTCCATTTTCAGTCACTTCCTTTCTCCTCCCTTCTCCCCTGTCCTAGCTACACTGGATCTACTTTCTTTCTCTATCGACTTGCCTATTCTGGATGTTTCATATAAATGGAATCATGCAGTATCATCTTCTGTATCTGGCTTCTTTGATTTACCTTAATGTTTTTGAGGTTCATCCATGTATCCGTACTTTATTCCTTTTTATTGCCAAATAGCATTTAATTGTATAAAAACAATGTCTTAATGTGATTGTTTTACATGATATTTTTATTCAAATGATTGTCTTAGTTTTTTCATTTTTTTTCTCGTGTGTTTTCTTATGTGTAATTGTCCTCTAGTATCATGTAAATCCACTGTTACGTGTTCATCTCTTCTGTTCAAGCAGTTTAGTTGTACTATTCATTTCTCCTTGTTAAAGAAATCTTTTCTCTGATCTGCTCTGGTCTGCCTCAATGAGGAGGAGGTGCCTCAAGCCTCCTGCATAATTATCATCTTGGGAGCTTTTATGGCATTGTAGGGATTCCTTTTACTTCACTTTTGTATTGGACTTCCTTTTTCCTGGATTAAAAAAAAGAAGAAAGGATGTCTTTTTTTCTTTCTTGATGTGCTTCAATTTAATGTAGCAAATTCCTCTTCTGGAGGGGCAGGGTGGGGGGAGAGGGGGTAGATTTATAGGAGATAAACTGTAAAAATGTTTTATTTAATTTTTGGTTCTTGTGATTCACCCAAAAAAGGGTTTTCTTTGAGGGGTCAGATTAAGTCATTGCAGCTTTTAACTCATATTGTAGCCTCACAATTGATAGTTTGAATGAGCATAAAAAATTTTAAAGATAATTAAATGTAGATTAGACTTTTTTTTCCTCAGAATTTTAAAGGCATTGCTCTATAATTGAGAAATCTGATATTTTGATTCTTAATCCTAATATATGAAAAGCCAGGGGTTGTCACGACCAAAACAACTGGATAGATGACCGAACACAGGCTGCGTGGGGCGACAGGGCTGGCAGGGGGTTAGTGAGGGACAACAAGGCCAGCAGGGGGGCAGTTGGGGGTGACCAGGCCAGCAGGGGGGAAAGTTAGGGGCTATCAGGCAGGCAGGCAGGCAAGCAGGTAGGAGCCAGCAGTCCAGGCTTGTGAGAGGGATGTCCGACTGCTGGTTTAGGTCCGATCCCCGGGAAAAGGCCTAAACCGGCAGTCGGCATCCCCTGAGGGGTCCCAGATTGGAGAGGGTGCAGGCTGGGCTGAGGGGCCCTCCTCCCCTTCTTCGTGCATGAATTTTATGTCCCGGGCCTCTAGTATTTTATATAAAACATGTTTTTGTTTGGGTTTGGATACTTAGTTCTTTTCTTTGTGCCCAGGTACTTCACATGCTTTTTCAGTCTCAAAGCTCATGTCTTTCATGACAGAGAAATGTATGTCTAAGATCTCTTTTCATTTGTTTGTTTTTAAGATCTCTTTTTAGAGTATCCTGTTCTTTTTTTATTATTGTTATTTCAGAGAGGAAGGGAGAGGGAGAGAGAGAGAGAAACATCAGTGATGAGAGAGAATCATTGATCACCGCCTCCTCGTGTAGCTCTCCTCTGGGAATCCATAGGTTTCCTTTGGGAATCAAGCCTGCAACCCAAGCACGTGGCCTGACCAAGAATCGAACTGTGACCTGGTTCGTAGGTTGATGCTCAGTCACTGAGCCACGCTGACTGGGCAGAACAGTTCCGTTTTGTTGAATATACACATTCCTGGACCCTACCAGGAGAAAGTTTCAGGGGAAGATGTTTAAACTGACTGCTTCTTTCTGGATGGTGGAGGTGGCCTCGCTTAGTTGTGCTGCTGAAGGTGGTGTCCATTTGTATGAATCAGACACACACACACGAAGACGTACATAGCTCAGCCGCATTTTTGTCCTGAGTAATTAAGAGTTCCATTTCAGGTAAGTCCTCTGTGACTCAGTCCCATTTGGTTGGAATAGAGGATCCACCACAATGCTTCTCAAACTGAGGATGTCAGAATCTCCTGAGATGCTTGTTAAAAATGTAGACTCCGGGATTTCACTCCCAAGCTTCTCTTAGATCTAGGAAATGATTCTACATGTTTAATAGGCGCCCTCTGTTATCCTGACACAGATGGCCCGTGGGCCATATTTTGAGATATGCTAATCTAAGTTTGTTACCAATAATGTCCCTGAAAGTTTTGGGGGGTTGGGTTGGGCTGAGAAGATTAAATACCTGCTTTTTGTATTGTTTAAATATAATTAATTCCTAAAAGAATAGTAATAAGGATAAGCAGAATAGTTCTCAGAGCTAGGCAACCCAGACTTTGTGTTTTAGGGGGCCTGGCTCTGGTCTTCTTCCAGGCAAGTCCCAATTCCAGGAGGTGGGGTCCCGGAGGACATCCCCCCCTGGAGTCCAGCCCTTCCAGGTCACACTCGGGATTCTTAGTACTCTGTAATTCCTTGCCCGGTGTCCACTTTCCTCCCAGGCCCAGGAGACAACTAAGTTTTACCAAATAGTCTCTTCCCTTGACCTTTTCTCTTGCCCACCAGAACAGTTCCTCTGTGCCTTTGCTATTTTATATTAACAGTTCTCAAAAAAAAAAAAAAAAAGCAGCACTAATTGCATTTCCTTTGACACTAAGGAAATGACCCTCAACTTATAGTTTTATGTAATACTTGAGATGGCTTATTAACGTCTGATACACTGCAGTGTTTTAATTGCAGTAAGTTTTGCTAGAGCATCGGAAAACTACAACTTTCCAAACAGTTGGGAAGTTGTGGTTCCCCTTCTGTGCTCCTCCTTTGTCACAGCCAGGAAAAAGGAATCACGTGTTCCATATTATCTCCTCAAAAGGGCCCGGGGAAAAGAGAGAAAGGAAGAGATTAACTGACTGAATTTAACACTTGGAGCCATAAATCATGTGTTGCAATATGGTGATAGGATGTTGCGTCAGGACATGGATGTGGCAGTTGTGATGCAGTGGGAATCACAACCATGGGAGGCTGTGTGGTGCTCTTTGTCCTTTCCCTGAAGATCCAGCTCCAAGTCTGTACCCCCTGCCCTGCCCGGGGGAAAGGCGTTATTTCAGTTACATTGTACCTCCCGCTAATTGTGTTCTCTCTGCCACCGAGGGCGGCACCCTCCTGTGTCCTGTGGTCACATACCAGAGGGGCGTGCTGGGTTTCCTCACATCTTCCTGGAAGTCTGTAGGGAAAGCTGGGAGGTGTTCTGGCAAAGCTTACATGTAATGTCTTTACTCAGAACCGTTAGTTTGAAAGTGTATGTAATATTTCCTGAATGTTTCACATTGCCTTTATCTCAAGATTTGAAAGATAGTAAGTGACCAGGAATTTGTCCGAGAAACAAAATTGAAGTTGGACAGTAACGATAAGGATAGGAGAATTCAGTGGTGTATTTCAGCAAAATTTTTGATAAAGCAGATTTTTGATAGTTAATTGTTTTTATTATTATTTTTGCATTTTTAACACATGGAAATATCAAAATTAAGTTTTACATTTAAAACATAAACTCTTGAGGACAAGGCTAATGTCTTAATTATATGGTAATGCAAGTAGTAGTATTCATGATGGTGGTTTGGGAATGTGAAGGAATTAAGGCAGAGAATTGACAGGTGATGAAAAGAAACAATCTTAAATTCTGATAAAGCTGGGTTTGGGGTGTGGTTTAGATTTGTGACAGTGGGTTTTTCGATATGAACTCCAGAATTAGACTTGCCTGCCAGTAAAATGTAGCATTTGATCTCCACAACCCTTTCCCCTTGAGGATCACCCTCTATAAAACTCCAGGGACAAAGAAACAGCCTGGTTCCCAAAGATGGAAAGAGAAGGAGCTGAGCAAAACGTGCAGTTGCTGTCCCCTACGTGATGGTGAGGGAAGTGGCTCCTCCGGGAAGGAGGAGGGGAGAGAAAGCAAAAACGTTACCCACTGCGGCCATTTCCACAGAAGGAAATAACTTAGTGCGCCGAGGCATTCCTGCTCTACCAGGCTGATGGTGGTGCGAGTTCTTAGGACATTAAAGCAAGTTTTAATGATTTGTAAATCATTTTCATCATTCATTGAATTAAGGAGACATGCTCTTAAAAGACAGTGTGATAGTTTGGAGTATGACTTTTAAGTCCATATCTTCTGAAATATTTATAGGTGAACTGATAGGATATCTAAACTTTACCTCAAAAAATTCCAGGGACTGAAAAGGTATACTATAATCAGATCATCAGTGTTGTGTTAAGTGATGGGTACATGGGGCTCATTGTATTACCTCCAATAAAATGAAAGTTCAATCCGATTCTAAACTTGACTATTAGCTATGTGTCCTCAGGAACTTGCTCTACCTGAGTCTCTGAAATGAGAATAATAAAATCTACCTTAATGACTTGTGATTATTCAATTAACATAACACATTATGTGCCCATTACATAACACACACTCGAAAACTGGTAGTTACTATTCTATCTATAAACAGGAGGAAGTCAATGTTTCATCTTCCTTAAACATGAAATGTTTGCTTTCTTGCTGAGGTGAGCATGTATTTCCCCCAGGTGACTGTATTAACTTGGATTTTGTTTCGACAGCTCAGGTGCCTGAAAGGCCAGAGGGGCTTCTTGGGCCAACCCCCTTTTGATGGAATCCACATCGTCAACCACTTAATAGGAGATGACGAATCATCCCATTCCTCTGATGAAGATCTCATAGACAATTCCTTACGGGAGAGTGGCATTGGTTTTCCTTTGCACAGAAAATCTGGCGCGAGGTCTGAAGCCCCCACTGTGGCAGATGGCAGTGAAAGCGAAACAGAAGACAGTGTGATGGAGACGAGAGAGGGCAGTCAAGTGGATCAAAAGGAACGGCTCCCAGGAAAGAGAGAATCGTACTCAACCACTGTCTGACCATCACTGTGAACTAGACTGTGGATTTTTTTTAAGGGATCAGTTATATGATTAAGGGTTTTTGGGGACATATCTGTTTCATATGTACATATATATATATATTTTTTCAATCTTATCTGCCTTTTGATCTTTGCCAAACCGTCACCACTGACTAACTATTGCCATAAAGTAGATTGGAATATGGTTAATGTGAAAAATAAGGTTCTAGCAGTATTACTGAATCTTAATGTTTCTTGTGTAGAAAATGTAATTATATCTATGTGTGGGAACCATTTTGAAGCTCTGAACTATGGAAAATTTTATTTTCTTCAGACAAAACTGCTCTTGTGCAATATTTTATGCTTAGTAAACAAATTGTATATTTATGTATATCATTTGTTTTCAGGGCAGCTGTCTACAAACATTTGACCAAGACACACATCTGATTTATCTTATGCTTTTGTGTTTGGAGGGATTTTTTTTTTTCCCCAATGAAATTACTGCTTTATTAGTGGACCACTGAAAGTTCCCAAATATAGTGTCCTTTTCCCATATAATGTTTTAAATACAACTTAAGGGTTAACTGTTTTGAGAGTTTTAAGTTTCGTTTGAATTTCTAATTTTTATGTGCATATCATATACTTCCATATATTGTTTATCATCCAGAGCAGTAAGTTATCTATAAATATATTGTTTTTGTACATAATTTATAAATCTGCAGCACCCAACACTGAACATCATTTTATATGGAGAATGCACATGTTGCAAAGTGACTGCCTTCAGCATTCTAACAGGACTTCTGTAAATACAAAGTTAAAAAGAAATTGAAAATAAAACCTAACACTAATATTTTAATAGTTTTAGTACTTTGCTTAGCACTCAACACTAGCAGATTTTATAACTGATGCTTGCTCAAAAACACTATTGGTGAGACCTTTTAACTTCATGTGTATGAAACTAATAAATTATCCATAATTACAGAAGTTACAGCACACATTACTTAGTGCTAATATTCTACTTAATATAAATTAAGCAATGGACTGAAGTCCAAGATACCCAACAATAATATCTGCAAATAATCTATGAGCATTATCTTCAGATTCTTTAATTACTAATATATAGATAAAGCCATAAGAATGATTTCCTACCAATTCTTTCCTTTTTTTTTTATCATGTAGACTATTTTTTCCTAGGAAACTGAGTATCTATCATTAATAAATTGGAGGAAACACCCAAGTTACACTCACATTATGGAAAGACAAGAATATATTCACTGGATGCTTCCACTCTCATTTTCATCAGCATCCTATGAAAAAATAGCCTTGGAGGATAAGATGGGAAGGTAGGATTTAGTATAGGAATACAATTTTGCACAATATGTTACATGCAGAAAAAAATACATATTACAGATGGGATAGAAGAGACAAGTCTAGTTTCTGTCTAACACCAGGAGTTAAGTCCTACGCCTCTCTGTGGACAAGGCCTCTCCAGGAAGCCCTGGGTAGCTATTGGCCTGAGAAACGAGATTGAGAACATGCCTGCTGTGTCTGTAGCACCAGGCAAAATTATAATGCTTAAATAACTTACCTGTGGTCACGTGGTAAGTAGCAGACCACAGTTTTAATGCAGATCTCTCTGACACCAAAGTGTTGGAAAAGGTTCGGCTAAATGCATTTCTCAATTCCCTGCTTTTCTGATAATTAATGTGATTTTAAATAAGTTTAAACCACACTTCACAGCTTTTGAGAATAGACACTGTTCCTAGAATTGCCTGACTGGTGGTGCTTCGGGGTCCATTACTGTCAGCCTAGAGGCTGTTGCTGCTCAAGTGAAATGAGATGATCCACGGCCACATGGTCGCTTTAACACCCACATCAAGAAATCTGGATGATCTAGACCAGAGGTCGCAACTGCACCCACGAGCCAGTTCCAGCCAGCTGCCTGTCTTTAAATGGCCTCAAGTGGAAAGCTTTTTACGTTTTCAAATAGTTGAAGGAAAAAAATCAAAAGAATATTTTGTTACATGAAAATCATGAAATTCAGATTTAAATATTGACAAATTTTCATTAGAGACCCATGGTTATTCGTTATATACTGTCTATGGCTACTTTTATGTTACAGTGGCAAAGCTGAGTAGCCTAAACTATCAACTGTCTGACTCTTCAGAGAAAAAGTTTGCTGACCCTTGATTTAGATGCTCTAAAATGTATGCTTGCTTCTTCAATTTGTCTTAATAGAGGATCGGACCATTTGCTTTTGCTGTTGAGCTAATAGTTTGGAAACCTAAAATTTCCTGGTGGATCTTGTATTCAAAACCATTCAAAGTGTGCCAGCTATTTTATATCATTAAGTCTGTGACACCGAAGACAGATTTGGAAGGATATCTGTGTCTTTGGAAATGGATAAAGAAAGAATTCCAAAATCCCAGCCCTGTTCTTCAAAGTATGTATGATTGACCTTTAAGGTATGCTTCATTGAGTCAAGGTTATAATATGACTTTAATAGAAAGAACCTCTTTCTGTATCATGTTTGAATTATAAATCTTGAAATATATTCCTAGAGAATTTCCTAAGTACTTTTCCTGATTTGGAATTAGGTATTAAAAGAATCACAGTAAGTAAACCTTAATCGATTGATACTTTTGTAATTTAGACAGTGAAAAATAAGAAACCATCTTCTCATTCAAGATCTTTGATTCAAATACTCCTTAGAAGAGTTTAAAATGTTCCTGACCTTTAGGATGCAATAGGATACTATGCTCTGATTTTATTCCATTTCGTTCAAAGTAAGACTGAGACATTGACAGTGTTTTCTTGATAGATTTTAATTATTTTGTCATTTAAATGTTATTCAGTTAAACAGAGTTGAGGAATATTGGAGCAGGGGGGAAAGTGAATGAAATAAGTTTTTAAAACTCATAATAAATTAGAATAACACACACTCCCTTGGGCTGGTCACCTTCCTGGAGTCATTGCCACCCTGGGTTGAAAGACTAAGGGTAGAGGCTTACAAATGACCTAAATGAAGTGGAAATTGCATCGAGATGATGAGACAGAAGTTTTAGGTCAAGACAATACTTCAGTCACTCTTTTAAGAATTAGTGGTAAATTTTTCACCTGGAAAGAGTAGTCAAAGATGTACCTTTCTTCCCTATCTACCCTTTTTATTGATAAATATTAGGCACTCGATATATGATGATGAATTGAGACATCAAATCCCAAGTAACTGGCTGGCTACTCTGGATGGAAAAAAACACCCTTTTCTTGGGTCATGAGGCAACTTGTTACTCTCCAGATAGTGCCTTTGATTGAATACAAGATGTAGACCTTTTAAGTATATTATTTATGACATAAGAACTTATTTGGCTCCTCATTATTCTTTATCGTCTACATCATGCACTATAATTTTATATTTAAATAAGAAAAGTAGATTGATTGTATTTTGGTAAAGCCCTTTTATGGCTGCTTGATTATTGTGATGCCAGATGTTGATAGCTAACACTCAATGATATACTTTTATTAAAACAGTGAGCTTTAGCAAGAAAGTTCTTGTTGCTCTATTAACAAAACAGTACATTTTTAAATTAATTTTAATTCATTCTGAAATTAAGATTTCTGGTTAAAAGTGGAGTGTATGCTATTTATAATCTTAAGTTTTTACATTATATCCATTGATCTACCTGTTCCCTTTTCACTCCAAAGAAGAGATTCCAGAATAATACATTATACTATAGAGATGCAAAATTATAATGTATTTTATTTTACCATTGAAATTTCTTATTGTAACATTGTATGATAACCTGAAATGTTTCCTTGTGCCTTTGCTTTAAACAATTAAAGTTTTCCATTTTATAAGAATTCTTGTTTCCTTAATCTATTCAACTCAAAAGGGAAGATGCATCAAACATTAAAAAAATCTACAGAGATATATCACTCATATTATACATTGATGCCTAGTCAGAGAAGGAGACCATCAAGCACCATGAATAACCAAGATAATGAGGCATCTCAGAAAGAAAATGAAAAATCTTCAGAAAATTAACTTAAAGACATGGAAATATGTGATTTAAATTACAGAAATTGCAGTTCTAAAAAGAATAAGATGCAAAACACACACAAAAAAAAAACAAAAAAAAAACTGCTTGGCCCAACATCAGATACTCATTAGTGAGGTTTGTGCTCCAAGGGTACAGGGCCATATCTACCTGGTCCACCCATGTGTGATCAGTACCAGACAGAGAGGCTGGTATGTGATATTTTTCAATGTAATAAAAGACCAGATATCTAGACTTGCTATTTCCTTTTTCATTGTATTTTAGTTAAAATAACTAGAGGCCCAGTGCACGAAATTCATGCCCTGGAGTATAGGGGGTTCCCTTAGCCTGGCCTGCACCTCGCAGTCCGGGACCCCTCGCATCTTACCACCCGCCTGCCTGATGCTCCTGCTCGGCTCGCTGCTCTTTAGCGCTGCCGCGGAGGCGGGAGAGGCTCCCATCACTGCAGCGGCGCTCGCCAGCCATGAGCCGGCTTCTGGCGAGCGGTGCTCCCCCTGTGGGGGCACACTGACCACCGGGGGCGGCTCCTGCGTTGAGCTTCCTGCCCCGTGGTGGTCAGTGTGCATCAGAGGTGTCAGTCATTCTGGTCGTTCCACCACAATGGCCACTTAGGCTTTTATGGTATAGGTTAGGGGTCTGGTGCACAAAATTCATGCGGGGCGGAGTGGGGCTTAGCCAAGCTGCTCCCTCTCACAGACTGGGAGCCCTCAGGGTATGTCCTACTGACAGCTTAGTCCTGCTTCCCATGGGGAGCGAGCCTAAACTGCAGTCTGGCCTCCCTCTGAGGGAGGCAACTGGGCTGATCAGGGGAAGACACCAGCCCCATCACGCTGCTGCTGCAGCCACTGCCAGCCACTGCAGCTGCCAAGGTGTTTACATCAACATGGATTCCAGTTTCTTCACCATGGAAAAATGACAACTTTCGTTAGGCATTTTCAAGATGTCTCTTTCACAGGATATGACTTTT